GAGGAGAAAACAGACTTTTCAAAAAAATAGCAGAAAAAATAACTACATTATGGAAAGAAACCTGAACTTACATATTCAGTTTCATACTTCTTCTTGCTTGGGTTATGATCAGAGAGGAAGTTTTGACTCTCTGGATCTGCATCTGGGTATTGCCTTTAATAGAAGAAAGAGACGTGTTAAATGAGCTGACATATTGAACTTTTCTTTTGGTCTTTAGCCCTTTTAAAAAAGAGCCTCACCCATTGAGAGGAATCTTCTTGGGAAAGTCAGGGTATGCAAAGTCGTTGCTGTTGGAGCTGCAGCTGTCGTCGTCTTGAGGAGCGTTCAGGCTTTTCATCTCAATTCTAGAACCCATCCCATTGCCAAGGACTGACCGTTGGCTATGGGATATAAATAAAAACTATATGCTTTTTATTGGTCAGGTTGAAGGGAATCCCACCACTAGAAGAATCACCCTGGTGTTGTGTAGAAACTGTCAGGGAGTCCAGGAAGAAAAATGATTAATGGAATAACTTACCTGTTCAGTTTCTTTCCCTTTGCTTGAGTTTTTTTTTTCATAGAAAAGACAATTTTATTTTTAATGTGTCGACAGGATGTGCAGTTTAGTTTTGTTAAAATGAGCCTCACACTTCCAGCAGTTTCTCATGCGTAAAGTAAGAGTTCTGCTCTTTACTGTCATCATAGATAAGACACTTTTGTTGTCTTCATCTTTTTGATTAGTCTCTTAAAAGTTCATCTCAGTTTTAACATCAGACTGCCTTTCACTAGGCACTGAGACTTAATATTATTAAATGTTTAAAAATGATATAGTACCAGGCTTCTAGTTGATGGATATTTTACAGATAAAAAGCAAAAAAAAACAAAACAAACAAAAGCAGTGGATCAATATTTTTATATATTCAGTTTTATTATGTCTACTTGTCTATTTGTTCTGCCAAATGTAACTCAGAATGGTTGAGGTAGTGTTTTTCAGATTACGCTTTCAATCTGTACCTACAAGCATCCATTATGTCAACTTATTAGCTGACAGACCTACAGAAGAATGACTATTTCCACCTTGGGAAGTTTTCTTATGCTGTCAGTCAACATGACAGACAACAAAGAAGTCTAGCAAAGTGTTTCTCAACCCTGGTCCTCACTGCCCTCCTGCTCTGCATGTTTTAGATGAGCCTCTATTCCAGAACAGCTGATTCAAATGATTGCATGACCATCAAGTACTGCAGAAGCCTGTTAATCACCCAGAGATACAATTCCGGTGTGTGACAGAAGGGAAACACCTAAAACATGCAGGACAGGGGGCGGTGAGGACCAGGGTTGAGAAACACTAGACTCTAGAGTCACTAGAGTCTAGGCATTCAAAGTGACTCTTTGATATGGACCACTGACTTGTCTGACCTGTTTCTAAACCCTGTTTCAAGCCAGTCAGAAAAAAAACAACTGAAAGTGAAACCTTCAGAACCGACACAAACGTCTTTTTCTTTTCAAATTATACAGAACTATACATATATTCAGTTTGATATTGCAG